AACAAAACCATGTTCAGGCATATCGTAATCATGCTGCTAAAAGCTGAAAGAGATGAATCTGTAAACCACATGGAGAAAAACAACAGATTACATATAAGCCCACAACAATTGGAAGGATTGTGGATTTCTCATCAGAAAACATGGCAGTCAGAAGTCGGTGGAACAATATCCTTAAAGAGCTCACAGAAAAAAAAGTGTAATATTATATTTCTATATATAGCAAAAATATCCTTCAGAAATGAAGTGCCATAAAAACATCCTCAGATGAAGGGAAACTAAGAGAATCCCTCACTAGCAGACCTGCTCTAACAGAAAGGCTACAGAAAGTTCTCTGGGCTTTAGGGAAATGGTATCAGAGGAGAACTAGGAACTTCAGGAATGAGGGAGGAACAAGAAAAATAGTAAATACTGGAATAAATAATTGGGACTGTTTTTCTCGTAAAGATTTTCTTTAAAATGTTTGACAAGTCATAACCTTGTTTGGGGAGGCTTTCAATGTATATAAACGTACTACATATGACAAGCACAATATAACGGAAGAAGTAAAAGGTCCCATAAGGTAATAAGGTTTCTACATTTACTTGAAGTGGTAAAATATTAACTCAAGTAATCTGTGCAAAATTAGGTATGTATAATATAATTCCTAGAGCAACCACTAAAAAACTTAATTCAAAGATATAGAGCTAAAAAGCCAACAGATAAACTAAAATGGAATACTAAAAATTATTTAAATAAGCCAAAAGAAGGCAGGAAAGGGGAAAGAGAGGATCATAAAACAGAGAGGATAGATAGAAAACAAATATATATACAGTAAATAACATATATATATATATAATGTAAATGGTCTAAATAGATCAATTAAAAAATAGTGATTATCAGATATGGAGAAAAAAGATCCAACTATATGCTGACCACAAAGAAAACACTTTAAATATAATGATATAAATAGGTTAAAAGTAAAAGGATAGGTTTTTGGAGGGGATGATGAAAATGTTCTGAAATTATATTGTGGTGATAAATGCACAATTCTGTGAATATACTAAAAATCACTGAACTGTACACCTTAAACAGGTAAATTTTATGACATGTGAATTACATCTCAATTAAGCTGTTTAAAAAATAAAGGATGGAAAACAATATCCTATGCAAATATTAAAAGAAAACTAGAGTGGCTATGCTAATATCATACAAAGCAGATTTCAGAATAAAAAATTCCCAGGGGTAAGGAGAGACACTACATAATGTTAAAAGATTCAATTCACCAAGAAGACATAACAACCCTGAATGTATGTACACCTAATAACAGAGCTCCAAACACACAAAGCAAAAACTGATAGAACTAAAGAACCCACAATTATACTTTGAAACTTCAACACTCTTCCCTGAGTAATTGATAGAACAAGTAGACAGAAAATCAGCAAGAACATAGCAGACCTAAATAACATTATCAACCAACATAATCTAATTTACATCTCTAGAATGTGCCTCCAACAACAGCCGAATACAAACTATTTTCTTTTTCTCTTTAAAGATTTTATTTTTTTCTTTTTCTCCCCAAAGCCCCTGGGTACATAGTTGTGTATTTTTAGTTGTGGGTCCATCTAGTTGTGGCATGTGGGATGCCGCTTCAGCATGGCTTGACGGCGCCCAGGATTCAAACCTGAGAAACCCCAAGCTGCCGAAGTGGAGCATGCGAACTTAACCACTTGGCCATGGGGCCAGCCCTGAGAAGGAAACACTTCTTAATTCATTTTTTGACACCAGTATGACCCTCATAGCAAAGCCAGACAAAAACACTGCAAGAAAAGAAAACTACAGACTAATATCCCTGATGAACATAGATGCAAAAACTCTCAACAAAATACTGGCAAACAGAATTCAGCAGCATATTAAAAGGATAATGCAACATGACAAAGAGGGGTTTATTCCTAGAACACAAGGATGATTTTCCAAAAGAAAATTGATCAATGTAATGCACCAAATTAACAGAATGAAGGCTAAAAATCATATGATCATCTCAACAGATGCATAAAAAGCATTTGACAAAATTCAATATCCTTTCATGATAAAAACATTCAAAAACTAGGAGAAGGAAACTACTTCAACATAATAAAAGCCACATAGGAAAAACCTATAGTGAACATCATACTCAATGGTGAAAGACTAAAGGCTCTCCCTCTAAGATCAGGAACTTTCACTGCTTCTATTCAATACAATAGTGAGAGTTCTGGCCTGAGCAATTAGGCAAGAAAAAGAAATAAAGCCATCCAATTTTATTTTATTTTTTTTTTATTTAGTTAGTTTTTAAAGATTGGCACCTGAGCTAACAACTGTTGCCAATATTTTTTTTTTCCTGCTTTATCTATCTCCCCAAACCCCCCTGCACATAGTTGTATATCTTAGTTGCAGGTCCTTCCAGTTGTGGGATGTGGGACGCTGCCTCAACATGGCCTGATGAGCGGTGCCATGTCCGCGCCCAGGATCCGAACCCTGGGCCGCCACAGCGGAGCGCGCGAACTTAACCACTCGGCCAGGGAGCCGGCCCCCAGTCATCCAATTTTAAAGGAAGAAGTAAAATTATCTCTGTTCATGGATGATATAATCTTATATGTAGAAAACCCTCAAGATTTCACCCAAAAAACCCGTTAAGATAAATGAATTCGGCAAAGTGGCAGGATAAAAAGTCCACACACAAAAATCAGTTGCATTTCTATACACTAGCAATGAACAATCTGAAAAGGAAATTACAAAAACAATTCCCTTTAAAATAGCATCAAATGGAATAAGATACTTAGGAATGAACCAAGGAGGTGAAAGTCTCGTACAATAAAAACTATAAAATATTGCTGAAAGAAATGAAAGAAGACATAAATAAATGGAAATACATCTCATGTTCGTTGGATTGGAAGACTTATAAATTGTTAAGATGTAAATACTATCCAAAGTGATCTACAGATTCAATGCAATCCCTATCAAAACCCCAGTGATCTTTTTTTGTAGAAATAGAAAAATCCATCCTAAAATTCATATGGAATCTCAAGAGACCCTGAATAGCTGAAACAATCTTGAAAAAGAACAAAGCTGGAGGACTCATACTTCTTGATTTCAAAACTTACCACAAAGCTACAGTAATCAAAACAGTGTGACACTGGCATAAAGACAGACACAGACACCAACAGAATAGAATGGAGAGCCCAGAAATACACCCTTGCATGTATAGTCAAATGATTTTTGACAAGAGTGCCAAGACCACTCAATAGGGAAAGAACAGTCTTTTCAACAAATGGTGCTGAGAAACCTAGATATTCACACGCAGAAGAATAAAGTTGGACCCTTACTTAACACCATATACAAAATTAACTCAAAATGGATCAAAGACCTAAATCTATTAGAAGATAATATAGGGTAAAATTCCCATGACACTGAATTTGGTAGTGATTCAGCAATTCCACTCCTAAGTTTGTGCCAGGAGAAATAAAAACATGTTCACCAAAAAAACTTTTACATGAATGTTCATAACAGTATTATTCATAAGAGCCCCAAAATGGAAACAAACCAAAATGTCCATTAACTGATAATTAGATAAATAGAATGTGGTACAGCTATCACAATGGAATATTATTCAGCAATAAAAAGAAATGAAATAATGATACATGCCACACAGGGATGAATCTTGAAAACATTCTATGTGAAAGAAGCCAGTCACAAGAGACTATTCCTACTGTATGATTCCATTTATATAAAATGTCCAGAACAGGCAACTCTATAGAACAAAGAGTACATTAGTGCTTATCTAAGGCTGGGGTTGGGGGCTGGGGCAATCTGGATGATGGCTAAGGGGAGTGGTGCTTCTTTTGGGGGTAATGAAAATGTACTAAAATTGACTGCGGTAATGGTTGCACAACTCTGCAAATATACTAAAAGCCACTGAACTGTACACTTTAAATGGGTGAATTACATCTCAATAAAGCTGTTAAAAAAGATAAAGCTACCACAAAAAAATTATAAGGCAATCAGAAAAATCTGAATACTGACTGGATATTTGATGATATTAAATGACTACCATTACTTGTTTTCAGTGTGATAAGGTTTTGTCAGGTTAAGAGGTTCTTATTTTTTAGAGATATGGACTGACATATCTACAGCAGAAATGATAAATTTGGAATTTGCTTCAAAACAATGGGGAGGCAGGCAGTTGGGGGGAGGAAAGATGAAACCAGACTGGTCAGGAGTTGGTCACTATTTAAGATGGGCGATGAGTATAAAGAAATTCATTATGTTACTTTTTTCTATGTATTCGAAAATCTCCAAAATAAAAGCGCCAGGAGCCACAAGACAAGACTCTTTGTCAAGCTCTGTCCCTGATTCAGTGTGTGAACGCCTCTTTCTTTCGCGTCTCCTGATGAAAACTGAGGATGACAATACCTATACCTAGTATCACTCTCGTGAGGAATAAAAGTGAAGACAAGTGAAAGGTGCCCTACCAAGGACGGGGCTCCATTTTGTCTAACAAGGCCAGAGATCAACAACAGTCCAGAAAAAACTCCGCTCATCACACACGAGGCTGGTATGACACACGACTTTAGACAGTAAGGACCTCCAGAGCTACGTAGAGAAGTACCTCCGATGGAAAGCAGTCTTCCCATCTCTAAACAATGCTCCCGACAGCAATGTGAGCTATTCCCAATTCAAACCACCTTGCCGTTGGGTGCCACAGGACAGTCAACAAGCAGCCTGAGGAGAAAAAAATTTAGAGCGGGAGGAGAAAACACACCAAGACCTTCATTCCACTCCCATCGGTTTATCCGGTAGGCCCCTGCTTTTCAATCCCTCTCCCACGGGTTCCACTCCCAAAACTGGAACTGGAGCGGGGGTTGGAGGGCGAGTGGAGGACAGAAAGGAGGATGAGCACCTGGGTTTCCAAAAGGAAAGAGGTCGAAAACTCAAAAGAGTATTTGATCATGACGAGAAGGCGACTGCCTCCTCTCCCCGATTCTCACCTTATCCGACTCAGCAGCGCAGGTCTTCACGCAGACAGGTCGTTTGGATTGTGGGCGTGGCGTGGGGGTAGGGGAGATGGAAGGCGCTGTGGGGGCGGGGCTACGAGGTGCAGGAGCCAATGGGTGATGAGGGAGGTTCACATCCTCTCCAGCTGTCCATCTCCAGCTTGAGGAGCGTGAAACTTCAGAGGTCCGGAGACGTCTAGGATCTCTGCTCTTGATTCACCAGACCCACCCACCTGCCAATGGTTGGGGATGTCTGCTTTTTCTTCTTTTGTCACAGAAACTTACTCAGGGGCAGCCTCCTTGTGGGCCCTCAGCAATCCGAAATCCTGGGATCTCTGAGCATTTAAGGAAAACTCATTCCCTGGATCTTCGAGAATCCCAACCACCTCTACCCACAGCCCCCATCCCCAGTCGCTGACTGACCCCCATCTCCTTTGGGGAAGTACTTCAGCTCAGTTGTGGAGTTACCCCTCCCACAAGTTCTGAGAGACCTACTCAGTTATCACTCACTTGCCCAATCACCTGATTTAGCTCTGTGATACAACCTGCGATGCCGCTTACCAAGCAGATACGGGACTGGCGGGCTCAGCAACACTATTCCGTAATTCCTCAAACTGGTTGTGTGTCCACTCACAGATACACTTAGTCCACAACAGTCCTGGAACCTCTTTTTAAAAATAAGTATTAGATCCATGATAAGGTTACCATGTCTCATTAGCAAGCGTATTAACATCCTTTCCATCTTTGTTGAACCACCATTTCCTGAGTTTCTCTTGGCTAACGACCAGTCTTTGGAAAAAGCAAGTCTACTAATCTAGCACCTGAATTTGCCATGACAAGGAGAGGGCAGGAACTCCGGGCTGGAGATTTGGCTCTCAAAAGAATGGAAGCCTCGTGAGGAAGACTAAATATCTGAGACATTTATAGGGAAGAAAAAAAAAGATCTGCTCACAGCCAGTGCTTAGAGTCCCAGCGGACTGATTTATTGACCAACAGCATTACTGCTCCAGCTCCACGGCAGGGGCGGGGCAGACCAGGCAAGAAGCAGGTTTGGTAGGCATTATCAATGGTGTATACAATGATGGGCATGTGTATATACTGAGGAAGGGGATGGGGAAAACACAATGACAGTGGTAACCCAGGAAGGTGGGGTCTTGGAGGGGGGGCTGAAAACCAGGCCCCATGAGCCCCCAAATATTCTCTTGGGAATAAAAGTAGTTCTGGGTCCATGGACACCAACAGTCTCAAGTTGGTATTAAGAGTTGCTTGTTAGATCTGTTTTGAGGGATATGTGATGTCAGGACAAATAAATGAAGTTAGGAAGTCACAAAACAGGTTGATCGCAATTCAGTTATCATCTTGTAGGATTTCCTCACTCTGGACCTCTTTAATGGGTGATAGTTGGACACTTAGGGGTAGGCATCTGGAGGATATCCTAGACTTGTGCCAGCTCGTGACATTGAAGGGAATCCCATGGGTGAGGCAGTATACAAAGTATGTGGGGATGGGGAGGATGCCAATGATAACAAGGGCAATCATCGCGAGCAGCCCCCATGATGGGTATTGTCGAAGCACCTCTTTTGACTGTGGAGAGATGGGAAAGAGGTTCAGAACATCGGAGTTCCCAGAAGAGGAAGGATATGGAAGAGAAAGGTGGGAGGGGAACTGGGGCGAAGGACTGATGAGTCCTCAGGGAGTCAGAAAATGAGATGATAGGGTCTTTAGGCCAAGGGCGGATTGAAAGATCTGGCCCCGACTCCCTAAGAAGGTCTGGGGTCTGGGGACGGAGGCTCACAGTGCTTGAGTCCCAGGCCACATAGGTGAAGCTCTTCAGAAACAGATGAATCAGAGTAGTCACCAACAGGACTAGCAGTAGAATTGGAGACAGACAGCACCACAGCCATCGAATGATGGGAGAGATGGGGCGGTCCCACAGGATCGCAAAGTCTGCAAGGAACCTGGGAGGAAGGGCCACAAGACTGTGGGAGGCCCAGTTGAGCCTTACCCAGTCTTGGGGGACAAGGCCAGCCTGACCTTAGCATCTTTCAAATATTCTACTTCACCTCCAAACCCCTACCTCAACTCAAGCCTCATCCTCTCTTATCTTCTCCCAAGTCACTCTTCCATCCCAACCCAAGAAAAATTTTCGAACATTCTTCTACTGCTTAGAAACCTTCCATGGGTACTCAGCGCCCTCAGGATGAAGGCCAGGTCCCTTTCATTCATTCCATGAATATGAGAATGTCTATGATGTGCCAGGGACTCTTCTAGGTGCTGGGTATCCACAGTGAACAACACAGACCAAAAAAAGGTAACACTTGATCGTCAGGGAACTTTTCTTAGCTTCTCTGCATGTTCTCCATCTCAATAAATATAAAACTGGGGGCCTAGAAAGCCATTCTCTCTTTCTCTTTGTCTACCTGTTCCTCTGCCCCGACTCTACTCAATCCTCCTCTCCTCTAGGACACCTTCTCTGACTCCCCAGGTGCCCGTGGAGGTCTCCTGGCTACCTCTGCTATAGACTTACCACCTTGTATTGGGATTGTCTGCTTATATATATCTCTTCCTCTTTGGACTCTGTGCTCTTTGAGAAGAGGAGCTCATTCTAATTCATTTGTATCTCAGTACCAGAAGGCTTTCCTGACACAGAGAAAGTCTCAAGAAATATGTGTTGAGTTAACGAATGAATGAACTGACTCCAAGAACCACTATCACATGAAAATGCTGCCACCTGAGCCTTCTGCCCTCAAATTATACCACTTGGATGTCCAAGTCACGCTTGGGAGTTCCTTGTACTTGATGCCCCTGATTATCTTGTTCCTTCTTCCCTACTAGCACTCCCTTGCAGAATTATAGCACATCTCTCAACCTACACCTCTACCACTCTAGCCCAAGCCATTGTTAGCCCTCATTTGGAATATTACGATAGTTCCTGACTGTTCTCTCTGCTTCCCTCTTGACTCCTCACAGTCTGTTCTCCACCCAGCAGTCATAAGCATCTTTTTTGTTTCTGCTGAGGAAGATTCACCCTGAGCTAACATCCATTGCCAGTCCTCCTCTTTGCTTGAGGAAGATTAGCCCTGAGCTAACATCTATGCCAGTCTTCTTCTATTTTGAATGTGGGACACCACCACCACATGGCTGGTGAGTGGAGTATGTCTGCGCCTGGGAACCAAACTCACAAACCTGGGCCACCAAAGCAGACTATGTGGAACTTTAACCACTCTGCCACAGGGCTGGGCCCCATAAATATCTTTTTAAAAAATAAATCTGATAATGTCATTCTCCTAGTCAAAACCCTCCAATGCCTCCTCTCTCATTCTGCAGAAAAAGCTAAGTCCTACCATGGCCTCCAAGGCCCTACATGATCTCCCGCTACCTCTCTGGCCTCATCTCCTAACATTCTATTTCAACCTCCTTGTTCTCCCTGTTGCTCAAAAACTCCAAGCGTGATGCTTCCTCTTGCCTTAGTACTAACTGTTTCCTCTGCTTGGAACAGTCTTTCTCAAAACCTTGTCATAGCTCCATCCTTCATTTCATTCAGGAGTCTACTCAAATGTCCCCTTATCGGAGAGGCCTTCCCTGCAATCTCATCTAAATTAGCACCACTCCACCCTTGATCATCTTACTTACCCTATGATTTTCTCTTGTCAGTTATCACCACCTGACATTTCCATTTGTTCATTTGGTTATTGTCTATCTCCACCATTAGAATGTAAACTCTCTGAGGACAGAGATGCTTGTTTTATTCAATGCTGCACCCCTGGTGACTAAAACAGTGCCTGGCACATATTAAGCACTCAATAAATACGTTAAATAAATGAATAAATAAGAAGGTTTCTCAGAAGGCCCTGAAGTTAACGGTCCCTATGTCACTCTAGTTGGGTGATAATAGAGGCAACAAGAAATCGGTCAACCTTCCTACAGACCCAAGCTATCACCTCCTGGCCCCATAGGCCCAGGCCACGGCCATGTTTTCAAATATGACGATGATGATTATGGGGAGGACTATCCAGTATTCAGTCAGCAGTTTGAAGAAGTAGATGCCTGAAGGTCGAATGAAGAAGAGGCCGCACAGGAACATGAGCACAAAGACAACCACTAGAGGAAATATTGGATCTGGATTAAGGTCAGAGGTCTGGCTGGGTGATAAGGGCTAAGCAGAGGTCATAGACCAGGGCTGGACAAGAATATCAGTGAAGTCAGGGTCATTGGTGGGAGTAGAGCCATAGGTCAAGGTACCTGTAAGCAGCTTTGTATATTTCCTGAAACAAGAAAAGGTGTCCTGGAGGGGGGTAATGATACCCTGCATGTTCCCTATTGTGGTGCTCAGCTCCAGGATCAGCAACATCAGGAAGAAGAGGATGGACCAGAAGACAGACCCAGGAATGAATGACATGGTTTCAGTGACGGCCAGGAATGCAAAGCTTGGGCCCTCCTTAACCTGTTAAGAGGAGAAAGGTCAGGAGTTAAAGAAACTTTGAACTCAACAACAAAAAAAATACAGACAAAAATACATTCTACACTCCCTGTAAAACTTCCTAAAAGCCCTGGGTCAGTGAGAAAACCCCATCTCTAAGCTGACCCTCTGATGTGGAAAACCAATTCCCCTAGCATTGTCCGCAGGAGGGTATTCTGGAAGCTATAGTTCTTTGCATCACCAGGGCTGCAGGTGATCCTGGTTCTTCTGGGATTTTTTCCTGGTGCTAATAAAAGCTGAAATTTCTGTTTTACAGAAGGCTTTGGAATATGACAATAGCTTCCAACTGAGGAACTCTAGGCCTCACTCGTCTGTTTTTACTGACCTTCAAAAATTGTTGCTCTAAGCTGCACTCTGGCACGTGGCTGAGGACCATGCTCTTGATGGGATGGGGAAGGCTCTTGAGCCAGGAGGTGAAGATAGAGGTAGGGCGGTCAAACAGGTTTAGAGGGGGCTGAGCCTCAGGAGGCAGCTTCCTCGTGGCTACCAGGTTCATAAGTATTTCAGCACTCCTGGGGATAAAGAGTTGAATCACATAGAATCATTTTGCTCCTTAGGAGACCACCTCTGGTTCCCTTATCTTCCAGATAGGAAAGGACATCACCAGCCTAGCATTACTGATCTGGGTAAGGTAGACCTTAGAATGAAGCCTAGAAGGCACTGACCTTCAGGGACATGAATTGCTGTGAGCCTGGAGAATTTATGACCGTGGAGGGTCCCAGGAGAAGCCGTATCTATAGTCTTCTTGGGGACTCTGGGGTCCCTGCTCTAGTGATGGGGTCTCTTATTCAGCCCCTACCTCTTCCCTTCCTCCTTCCTTAGACAAGTGGGTAAAAGCCCACCTTCTAAGCTTTGCACTACAGAATGTCAAGGAGCACCATTTACTTAGATTACTATATGCATAATGCTCCCATGGAGTTGTGCTATGTGACAGAAACTGCTTCTTGGACTTTTTGATCTGAGCCCTGCTGACCTCTCTAGCCTTATCTTCCCATCATGACCCTCTGCATACTTCATGCTCAGGTCAGAGTTAACTCCTTACAGTTCCAGGACCTGCCATTCCCTCTCTGGCCCAAGACCAACCCCACCCCCATCGCCATTCTTCATTTGGCTAATTTCTACAAATTCTTAAAAATTCAGCTCACTGCTCTATAAGAACTAAAATGGAAGGCCTGCCAACTCTTATTTATTAGAGCAAAATGCAAGCTGCAGGAAAAGAAGTATAGTTTGATCACATTTTAGAAAATAAAATACTATTCTTTTCGTAACGGGCAAGTTAAATATTTGGACCAACTTTCTTACTGGAAATAACTCAAAAGTCTGGAAGATATTTTTTAATCTTAAAAGAAAAAAATGCTGACAAGACAATAAGGAATTATCAGACAAAAACTGAAGTACAGACAAAAGCAGTGGGGAAAGGGGACTTCCAAAGCAACTTTGCCCTGAAGGTATACGTCAAATACAACAAACTGTACTTGCAGTGTCCAATTTCATGACCTTTAAGAAATAAAAGGAGCATGGGGATCACATATAAAGCACCAGAACCTGACCAAAGTAAGGATCAGAATAGAAAGTCTTCCCCTACATCTGGCACTTCAAAGGGCTACCTTCAGTATAAAAACGAACCAGAAGCTTGTGCCCAACCCTTCCACACAACAGGGAATGCGAGGAAAGTTGCTTCAGAAATGAGCAAAACAAGGGGAAATTTTAAAAGTTCCTGACACGTTATAACCACACGCCAGCACTAGTTTGGATTTGCAGCCCAAATATTTGACCCTGGTTATCTCAAAAGCTCAAGCCAAGAACTGAGTTTCCTTTTTCTCTCTTTCTTTCTTTTTAAGAGTTTCAAGAAGTCTCTTTTTAATGTCCCTATGCATCAGGTAGAAACAAAAGTCCTATCTGGATGAATACACTTCATCTTAGGCCTTAAAGCATTCCTACAAATAATGGTCAAATAAATAGGACGTAGAGACAACCAAGCACACAAAAACAAGATACCATGAGCAATAACTATCAGAAACAATACAGTAAAAATAGACCTAAAGTTACTCCCAAATGTTAGAATTATCAAAGATTATAATACAACTATGTTTACTATGCTTAAATAATAAAAGGCAAGCTTGGAAATATTTGCAGGGAACAAGAAACTATAAATTGACCATGAAGGTTTTAAAAAACTAAACAGAACCTTTTGAAATAAAATAATTGAAATTTAACATTCAGTGTGGATAATTCTACTTCCAGCCACAATGAAGGAGCAGGGGCACCACTTACCCTCCCACTGTAAACAACCAGACAACTGGACAAACTTTACAAAGCACCTGTATTCAGAAAAGAGACAACAGGAAGCACAGGTCTTTGATCCCTGAGAGAAGGGAAACAAATGAGGTGCACCATACAATCGCCCTGGTTTTCTACCTGACAGCACATTCTAGACTATAGAGCAGGGAAGAAGATTGCAAGAAAAGTATGGTGGTCACATTCAGCTGAGGAGACAAAGAGGGGATTCAGGAAGGCTGAAGCAGCTGGAAGTTCCAAGGAAGGATTCTGGGGCAGAGGTAGCTACGAAGACAAAGAATTTCAGAAATGTGCATAGGGGACCTTTGAGTCTTTGCTGAATTTTAAGATGCACATGTGTAGGATGCAAATCCACAACGCAGAGTAAAGAAAAACCTGGAAACATCCAAGTTCTGAATGGGGTATTCAGAAGAGATCCCAGAAAGGCCATGCCTTAGCACTCCTGGAGAAAAGATTACTCTAAAACCACCCTAATGAAGCTTCAAATCAAGCCACAAAAGGATCAAACTGAGCCACAAGTAACATTACCTGCTAGAACAAAGCTCAATATACATTAAAGGAAGGCAACAAAAGCCAGACACTCAAAAACATAAAATTCACAAAGTCCAGCATCCAGTCAAGAATTGGTAAACAAATGAAGAAGGAACAAGATGTGACCCATAACCAGGAGAAAAATCAGAAAATAAAACAGTAAATAAAATAGAGCAATAAATGACAGAGATGATGGAATTAGAAGTCAAGGATATTAAAACTATGTTAAAGGGGCTGACCCCGTGGCCGAGTGGTTAAGCTCGCGCGCTCTGCTGCAGGCGGCCCAGTGTTTCGTTAGTTCGAATCCTGGGCACAGACATGGCACTGTTCATCAAACCATGCTGAGGCAGTGTCCCACATGCCACAACTAGAAGGACACACAACGAAGAATATACAACTATGTACCAGGGGGCTTTGGGGAGAAAAAGGAAAATAAATAAATAAATAAAATCTTAAAAAAAAAAAAAACTATGTTAAAGTGTTTAAAGAAAAATATGAAGCTAACAAGTAGAGAAATGGAAGATATAAAAAAAAAAAAACCAGTGGGACTTGAAATTAAAAACATAATATCTGAAACGAAAAATTCCCCAGATGAGATTAGCAACAGATTAGACACTGTATAAAGAAAGATCAATGAACCTGAAGAAATAGCAATAGAAAATATACAAAAGGAAATACAGACAGAAAACACACTGAAAAAAGAAGACAGAGACTCAATGACTTGCGGGACAATATGAAACATTCTAAACCAAGTGCATTGGAGTCCCAGAAAAAGAGGAGGGGGAGAAAGGAGTATTTGAGAAAAACATTGGCCTAAATTTTTCCTAATTTGATAAAAATTGTATATCTCCAGTTTCAAGAAGCTTAATGAACCTCAAACAGGTTAAACAGAAAACTGAAAGAAGACCTATGATAATAAAATTTCTGAAAAACAGTGAAAAAGAGAAAATCTTAAAAGCAATCTGAGAAAGAATAAGACACAGTATAGGGAAAAAAAGATAAAAATGAATGCAAAAAAGCCATCAGAAAGTATAAAATCAAGAAGACAAGAAACTACATCATTAAAGTATCAAAAGAAAAAACTGTCAAACTAAAATTCTACATTGAAATATTCTTTTGTAATTGAATATATTTTACATATTCATATAAACATATGTTTCATAACTAAAGGTGAAGTGAAGACTTTCAGACAAATAAAAGTTGAGAGAATTCATTGCCTGCAGGTTTACATTACAAAAAATGTTAAAGGAAGTTCTTTTTCTTTTCTGCTCCCCCAAACTGCAACACATGGTTGTATATCCTAGTTGTAAGTTATTCCAATTCTTCTGTGCGGGATGCTGCCAGAGTATGGCCTGATGAGCAGTGTGTAGGTCCGTGCCCAGGATCTGAACTGGTAAACTCAGGCACCCCAAAGCAGAGCACACGAACTTAACCAGTCAGTCACGGGGCCAGCCCCTACAGGAAGATCTTAAATGGAAGGAAAATGATACCAGGTGGAAACTTGGGATCTACACAAAGGAATGAACAGTGCTGAAAATACAAAATATAAAATCTCTTTAAAAGACATTGATTATTTAAGAAAAAATAATAACGATGTATTCTGTTTAAAATGTGGTGAAAAGAAAAATGCATGACAAAAACAATACAAAGGACAGGAAAAGAGAATAGAAGTATATTGCTGTAATCTTTTTCAATTTTGTGTGAAATTGTTTACTATTATTTGAAAGAAGATGGTGACAAGTTAAAGATGTATATTCTAAACTCTAGAGCAACCATTAAACCCACAAAACAAAAAGGTATAGTGAATAAGACAAGAATGAAAATAAAGATGGAATCATAAAAATCCTTTTAAAAAACTCAATCTAATTAGGAAATGAGGAATAAAGTAACAAAGAGACAGGACAAAAAGAAAAGTAGCAAGACGGTAGACCTCATAAACACTGCAGAATCACTGCTTTCCCTTGAAAATGGCGAAATGCATGCCTGCCCATTCTTACGCCTTATTCAGCATAGCACTGGAGAGTCTAGTCAATGCAATAAAGCAAGTAAAATAATTTTTAAAAGATTAGAAAGGAAGAAGTAAATGTCTTCATTTGCAGATACAAGATTGTGTATGTCGACAAACCTAAAGCTACAAAAATAAGTGAGTTTATCAAGGTCAATGTACATAAATCAGTTGTAATTCAATATACTAAGCAATGAAAAGTTGGATTTAAAATTTAAGAATATTATTTATAATAGAATATAAAATATGAAATCATTAGGGATAAACTTTAGAAAATATATGCAAGACATGTTATAGACTAAAATTTACAAAATATTGCTGAGAGAAATTAAAGCAAAGGTAAGGGGCTGGCCCCATGGTCAAGTGGTTAAGTTCGTGCGCTCTGCTTCAGCAGCCCAGGGTTTCACCAGTTTGGATCCTGGGCGCGGACATGGCACCACTCATCAGGCCATGCTGAGGTGGCATCCCACATGCCACAACTGGAAGGACCCACAACTAAAAATACACAACTATGTACCAGGGGGCTTTGGGGAGAAAAAGGAAAAATAAAATCTTTAAAAAAAAAAAAAAAGAAGAAGAGGTAAATAAACAGAGAGATGTATCATGTTCCTGAGTCAGAAGACACAGTATTGGTAGTTGCTTATTCTCCCTAAAATGATCCATAGATTCAATGCAATC